TGGGGAAGCGGGGACGCTTCTTTTGTTGTAAGGGGGAAGTAGTGTAAGCGTGATCTGTTTTTTTTTTTCATGTTTCCACCAGGTCAACGATATGTTTCTTTTCTTGCAATTAAAAACGATGAAGAGGACTTATCAATGTGAACCATGTCCATTCTGTGTGAATTTGTTGGCAATTTCTCGCTTTTCATAAAAATTATGCAGCAATTCAACAAATATAACTGTTTCCCCAGCCCCTGTAAAGACAATCACAGTCCTAACATGTTTGGTTCAGTTTAGCTCTGTAGAGCTAACTCACAACAAATATCGCCTCCAGGAACTTTACAGAAATATAAAAATCAATTCTGTCCAGTCATACAAATTCCAAAAGTCCATGCATTCCAATTGTTCCTAATTATCAAACAGTGTAGTCAAGTTCACCGTCGGACAGTGGGTCCGCGAGGAGAAATTTCCTATTAGACATTAGAATTTCTGAAACCATACACACACACAAAAAAACCTTGTAAAACCTTACACGGGGTCAGAGCGACCCCACCAGATTCCACATGGAGTAAAAAATGACAATTGTCTTTTAGGAATGCAGAAGGGTTAAAAAGTTGTCTTGACTTGAAGCATTTACCTCTCCGGTAGCTTTGTATGAAAGCCAAACACAGTTGCATGAATAGTAACTGTTTATTGGTCTGTGTGGCTACTGTGGAAGAGGAAAATGTCTTTTGTTTTCATTGTCAGGTTTATATTAGATTATTGGATGACCCTGCACTGTGCTCTCAATGTATGTTGAAGTAGAACTAAGAATCAGAGAAGACATGTTCACCTGTCACAGATCTTCTCATCAGTTTCTCACTTTCATAAAGTCTAAACAGATTTTAAGAATAAAATTATCTCAATAGTAGTAGAAATTCTTTTTTGAAATATTTATCTGACCAGTTTGTTGTCGAAATGTGTTAAGATACTGGATGGGACAGGTTAACCTAAAACAAGATATTTTCATCATAAATTGTTGATAATGTTGGCATGACTGAGAGACAAAAATATTGCTAAGTGATTGGATTTGTTTTAAGAACCGTTGTTAGCCACTTGGTGCAATCTTCCAAACAAATTAGGCACCCATCATCTGGTTACTGAATTTCAGAAGAGACACAGTAACTGCTGCCTAATGAAGAACCATTCCAAGAGTAAGCAACTGGAAACAGCAGAAACTAATTTAATAGTTATGAAAATGTCACTCTTCCTCTACTGTATAAGGCAGATTGTAACTGCTGTGTGTGACTGATTTCCTGGATTCTAAGGAGAACTTGTCAGCTATATTTCTAAGAAGTCCTTCCTGTTGCTCATTTCCTGTGTACTACCTCATCAGTTCTTGTCCATGCTGTTTTTATATGTTGAATCTTGCAAACAGCTTCAATTTTATTTACCACAATTTAGATGTTTTTGAATTTGGCACAATGTTGTGGAACTTGACATCAAGTGGTAGAACTTTAATTTGTTGGCTTTTTTCTGTCCACTTTATACAGGACCGGAGGTGCAAAGGCAGTTTCCTGCTGACTACCCTGATCAGGTTTAATCACAGTGTACCATGTTTCTTTCTCTAACTTTTAGATTTTGCAGAGTTAAAATGAATTGACACATTGCTGCTCTTTTGCATGGGATTTTGTTTTCAGCTATTTTCAGTATATAAAACCCAATTAGATTTATTTTATTTTTCTGTCTATATTTCTGCCTGTTGACCTTGAAATTTCCTCTTTGCAACACCACTTTTTACATGTGTATCTCTTTAAATCTGTTCACTTTATACAGTCTGTCAGATATATTGTGTATCAATTTCTTGTTGTTTCACAGGAAACTCTTCTTACTGTGCCAAAGTTCTGCTTCCCCTTCAGCATGGACAGGTACATACACTTAAATACAGGCATCATTGGGATTCAACAATCCGAACATGCATTTTGACTATGATTTCCACAGCAAAATGTGTATATTACTATGCCTATTAGAAATATTTATTCAAAAATTTGGTTTGGCTGCTAAGTAGCAGGAATGCACAACACATCATCTCAAGGCACTTTAGAAAATTTTTTATTCCAATATAATTTTACTTATATCCTCTTTGTCAAGTTCAGTTAATTTTTCAAATTAGTTAAGAAAAATTTCAATCTAAGAAAACCCAGCAGATTTCATTGAATTATTACTATCATTACTATTTGAATGCTCACACACTTGATTAGCAACTATTCCCTCAAGGATTTTAGGTAGGAAAGGAAAATTTAATATAATCCTGTAATTTATTAAGTCATCTTGATTGAGGAAAGTTTGCTAAGTAAAGGTTTAATTGCAGCTACCTTAAAAGCTTGTGGTATATGTCCATATCCTAAGGATAAATTAATCATAACTAAAATGGGGGCAGTAATCAAAGGCAACACTTTCGATAATTTGGTTGTGAAGCGGTCCAGAGGAGTTTGGAAAAAACTAATATTTTTGACAACTCCAAAAGCTGAACTGATTCAAAACAGTCCAAACACTTATCAGATTTTATAGTTACATTCACTTAAATAGGATGAAGCAATCACATTTGTGAGGATGCCAATAATTTTATTTCTAATGGAATCAATTTTAATTAAAAAGAATGCCATGAAGTCATTACTGCTGAGAGCTGGGGGAGTCGATGGCTCAGCAGAGCTAAAACTCTGTGTAAGTTTGGCATCTGTACTTAAAAGAAATCAAGAATTATTCTTATTTTCCTCTTAATAATGAAACATACAATGTTCTAGCTTGTAACAATTTTTTTAATGCAGTTGTAGACTATTTTTGTAGGCAAAGTATCTCTTCTAGATAAGTAGAGTACCAAAAAATGCATTAGAAATACATTTTAATGACACTTTAAATGGGAAAATATAAGTTAAAGTGTGACTTAGATTATTTATGTGACAGAAACATGGTTAAAAATATCTAATCAAAAAATTAAATGAACATTTTGTACTCTGAGAGCCAGTTTTGTGTCTAGAGGAGATATACATATGCTAAATGTACAATATGCTCTAAACACAACATGTTAAAAATATTTCTTATATTTATTGAAATACACTTATTTATTTATTTGCAATGCCTTTGAGAGTTGCTATTTTTTAAATTTCGTTGTGCTTTTTTGCACAGTGACATTAAAAGGAATTTTCATTCTGATTCTGAAAAGTAGTTAGAGAAAGCAAAGCCTAAATTTACTCTCTGATGAGTTATGATGGAGTTGTATCAGAACATCATGTTTTCTTCAGTTGTTGACATTTTTTTATTCCAAGTGTTCTCTGTGTTGGGCCAGCATGAGAATGTTTATGTGTACACCAGGACAGCATCCTGCTGGCTAATAAAACACATAAAAAAATGAAAGAAAAAATGAAAAGGACTCAACAGTGGCAAATTCACACCACAGAAAACAAGATTAAAACAATCTAATGAAATAATGAAAATGAACAAAGTGATCATTCATGCATCTTCCTAAGGAACGGTCTTTCGATTTCATTTTTTTTTTTTAAATCATTTTGCAAATAAAATCCTTTTGATTTAGCCAACTGCACTCATGTCAAAGGTTTTCACTCATTTTCCAGTTTTTCGCAAGGTGTTTCCTCATTTCCAACACCGTTTTTTTCCCCCATTTATATTCTCTGGATCTGTCAGCCACAACCATGGGAATCTCTTTGCGGATCACTTTTGGGCAGGGGTGTCCAAAGTCGGTCCTAGAGGGCCGGCATCCTGCATGTTTTAATTCCCTCCCTGGTGGTAGTAACAACCTTTTCAGCATGTCAATGTTCTTCTTAGGCCTTCTAACAAGCCATCCAGGTGTGTTAAACAAGGGAGAGAACTAAAACAGGATGCTGGCCCTCGAGGACCGACTTTGGACACCACTGCTTTTGGGCCTCAGAAGGCCCAAAAGTGACAAAAGGCCCAAAATACAATGCATATTATTCCTTTATATTAACCTATGAGTTGGTCCTGAGCCTTTTTCTCTCTCTCCTCAGAGTCTAAGGTACTTTCCAGTTTGATCTGTCGGATATCTGAATTTAGTCTGGATGTTCTAACTCTTCATCTCATGTAATATCTGAAAAGCTTTCCTGTCTGCTTCCTGCAGCCTAACAATCAACCAGGTTGGCCAGAACTTCACATTTGTGTTGACTGACATTGAAAGTAAACAGAGATTTGGTTTCTGCCGCCTCTCTTCGGGAGCTCATACCTGCTATTGCATTCTCAGGTGGGTCTGAGTGTTTCAGGATCTGAAGCACATATTGTTTGTATAATCCTCTGAAAACAATTTAAGCATGGCCCTTGAAATAATAAAGACATTGTGCTAGTCATTAAAAATGGTTCATAATTCTGATGGTCTTTTTTTTTTCAAAATCGAAAATTGATCTGATTGGAGCTTAAAGCTGTGTTTTCTTGATGGCAGTATTCTTCAACATTGTTGATTTTATTTATTTATTTATTTATTTATTTATTTCTTAATATCTGAAAATCTGAGCTTTATTCCAGCAATTAAAGGAATAAAGTTGACAGAAAAAATATGATCATTGTAACAATATAAAGTGGTAATCAAAAGCAATTATTGTCTCTGTGAATGAGCAGCTTATCTTACACATTGCTTAAACTTTAAATGAAGCCGGACTGTACTTGCATGTTTGTTACGAGCTTTTTTGTGTATAAAGAGTCCTGCAGGACAGTTGAATGTCTTAATCTCTTTTGTTGGTGTTAATACAGCAGTTTATTTTGGAGATGAAAATTATAGAGTATGTCTATGATGCTATGATGCAGAGCCCCTAGGGGACATGGAGGATTTTTTTTCTTTTGCATTATCTCGCAAAAGTATTATGTTCCCTCGCAATACTTTTGCATCCCTTGCATTATGTTTTGCGTTCTCTTGCAATAATGTACTGATGAGTTTATGTGGCATATTTGAATACTGTAAGCCTTTCTTTATGGTATACTTTCTGCTATAATATAAGGTTTTCTTAAGGTTTTTCCATGTATGTTAATATCTCGTTATGAAATATCGGAAGCTTTATATATTTTTCTTTAGGATAGAAATGCAACACAAACCTATGATACAAATAAAAACTTTAAAATAAGTAGGACAGACAGAAAAAAAAATACATCCAAACTATTTGGACAGTTTCTGAGTTACTATCATGGGGTAACAAGTCATCTGACAGTTTTGATTGGGTCTCTTTTGTGTTGGTCTGAATGGCTTAAAGAGCCATTTTCATGTGCAGTTCAGTCATAACCTTACACAAACAGACATAAACATGCAGTGAATAAATTGATCTTCAATCAGCTTTTTGCACCAAAGAGTTAAGAATAAACATGTTTTCACTGAGGCGTGTATGCATAAGAAATTTTAAATTGACATTTACTGCAAGGGGACACAAAACTTATTGTGAGGGAACGCATACGTTTTGCGAGGTAATGCAAAAGAAAAAATTTCCCCATGCCCCTTATGGGGCTTTGTAATATGATGATAATAGGGTATGGAGAAAAACAAAATAATCATGAAGCCTCAAAATAAACAATTTTTGTATTTTGTATTCTCTCTGAGTTGAATGAAAAGTAATTGTTTTAGAAATGCAATATCAGAATTTTCATTAATCAGTGTTAAAAATAATTTATGGCATGTGCTATGTCCTTATTTTGGCCATGCTTATCAACCTAAAATCTATAAAAGCTTTCAAATAAGCTTTCATTACTTTTTAAATCCTTTAAAAAATAGTGATGAATCCATACATTTAAAACCAATGATTAATTTAGAATTGAAATGATGCCTTATTAAATGTATATTAAAAATGTGTCTTCTCTCAGCTACCTGCCGTGGTTTGAAGTTTTCTACAAGCTGCTGAATATCCTTGCTGACTGCACTGTCAAAGGCCAGGTGACTCATTCAACTCTCACATGTTAGGTTTGGTTCTTGTTTGTCTCTAAATTATCATTGGGTGTTTGAGTTTACTTAGATCTCCCTGATACTTGCTGATTTTCACATGTAATGATGGAATATGTTAACATATATTTATGTATCTGTGGGAACGTCTTGTGTCTTCATATCAGCTGTGACCTTAATTTTTCTGCAGTTATTGCCTACACTCTGCAGCTTGTCTTTTGAAATTAGTCATTATTCCAGTGGAACATTTTTTATTGCAGCTGTATGGGTTAATATTTGTGTAATATTACAGGAAAGCCAGTGGCAAGAGCTCCTGGTGTCACTACATACACTCCCCATACCTGAGCCTGGAGTTCCCATTCACCTTGGTGTGGTAAGCTCCAATTCTTCACAATACATGCATTTGAATTCAGTTGAAAAGTTATGGCTATTGCACATTTGCATTTATGTTAATGAATTCATAACACCTATGATATTTTACTGTCACAGAAGTGTTTTGTGTGTATAAAATGTAGTCCCAAGTTATTCAGAATTCAATTAGATGTTTTATTTTGACTACTATGTTGCCTCGGTCTGGAAGTAACTAATGATTTTGAGTGGCCCAGTCAGGGTCTTGGCTCTATAGAGGTGGTGAGCTAAAGATTAAGAGAGATGCTTGCCTCATTTTCAACCATCTTGGTAAAAATTATTTTAAATTTAAATCTGGCACATGTAGGAATATTTTAGAGCTTAACTATCCTCAGTAATCATTTAAGCAAATGCAAGTCTATTGTTTATACCGCTCTCTCACGCTGTCCCTTTTTTCCAGCATTCCTTTTTCACTGTGCCTGACATAAAGGAACTCCCAAGCATACCCGAGAATGTGAGTGTTGAATTCCCTACCCTGACAGTCAATAGCCTCATTATTCATATTGTCTTTACACAGTTTGAATGTTAGCTTCCTGATTAGGTTAGAAGGCATAATGAGTTTCTAAGTTCTGGGACTTCAGATGCTGACAGTTTAAAAATGGATTTGAGTGTGTATTAATATTGAGTGGCATGCTGGACCAGTTAACACTGTCACTCTGCAGCAAGGAAGTTTTGGTTTAAATCCTGGTCTGGGGTCTTTCTACATTGATTGTTCATGTTCTCCCTGTGCATGCGTAGGTTCTCTCTTCCTCCCACAGTCCAAAAACATGGTTTCTGGGTTAATCTGTTTCTTTAAATTGATATGATTGTTTACCCTGTGTGTGTGCGTGTGCGCATGTGTAGGTGTGTCTAAGCCACACACACAAAATCTAAACAGGTCTCTTTAAACCAACTGTGCTCTGTTGGTTTGGTAATTCAGACAGCTGAGGGTACTGACTGCTCAGAGTAATATATCAGCAAGTATCGATATATAAATATCACAGTTAGACCTCTAATAGTGTTCTTTGCTCTTTTGGGAAGCTTAAAATGCTTCAAAACCTATAAAATTTATGTCAAATTATTTGTGTCATATGGAGATTTTGCCACAACTAACTGTCCTGACTATGTATCTCTTCATGTTTTACCTCTACAGAGAAACCTAACAGAGTACTTTGTAGCAGTAGATGTCAATAACATGCTTCATTTGTATGCTAGTATGCTTTATGAACGTCGAATCCTCATCTGCTGTAGCAAACTGAGCACTGTAAGTAGTACTTCCCGTTTCCTCTTTTTTTTGTCCTGCTCATCATGTCAGAAGTTAGTTGTCAGTATTGACCTTTTTGTTATGTGTAGTTGTTTTCTTTCATTTAATATAAAACATACATTATTAAGAGTTTGATTTACTTGGTGTTAAGTAAAGCCAGCTTAGTTAGTGTGGGGATTGTGGTATAGCACAACTCCACCTAAAATATATTTTTTATTTTTAGAGCTGTTTGGAGGAGCACTATGTTATCATGCCTATTTATTTTTCATTTTTTTCCATTTTACCTTACTGACATAGATTTTATTTTTGAATAGGCATGTGTAAGCTTTTCATACAAGTATTTCTAAGGTGTCATCTCTAGAGAATGAATTAGAATAGATTAGAATAGCTTTTTATTGTCGCTGAGAGAAAACAGTGTTCAAGAACAGTGTTAAACCAGTGAAATGCAGTTTGGGATCCTCTCACAGGCAGCAGTTAAAAGATAAAATCTATACATGTGCAGTAAAATCCATACATGTGCAAAAGAAACAACAGATTTTCCAGAGATATTAACACTGTAATATATACAGGCTTTATTTAAAAGTGCAATTAGTGCAACAATTGCAAAAACTCCAGTTAATTGTTCTTATGGTGCATTATTGTGAGCTTCAGCACACACCTTTTCATCTCTTTTCAGTCTCATGTCCCCAAAGCAATCATTTTAACAGCTGCAAGCTTTTTACATTGATAAAACTCAGAAATTAACTGAACAGGGAGTGGTTAAGAGACACAAGGAGCCGTTGAATTCACAGATTGGTACAGTTGTAGGCTAAGAGACAAAGTTTTCCTTCAAAAGCTGAGGAGCATGAAAAACTGTGCTAAAGCCCCATATAAACAAATAACTTCAATTCATTATATCTGTAACAACTGTTGAAGTCCAACTATTGAACTACTAAATAGCTATTAATATGAATTGAACAACTTATTGGAAAAGGAATTAGTGACATCTAGTGGCAAGATTTCAAATAGTAATATAATGGATGAAAGCAGGTGTTTTCTACATTCTTGGTTGTTTTTATATCCCATATGAAACTGACAAACATGTATTGTATTTTTAAGTCATGCATAAATGGCTGTTGGAAGGAGGGAAGAAAAATGAGTTGTCACATGTGTTTTTGATCTTTGTCTCCAGTTGACAGCTTGTGTACATGGGTCTGCGGCCATGTTGTATCCTATGTACTGGCAACATGTTTACATTCCTGTGCTTCCTCAACATCTGTTAGACTACTGCTGGTGAGTTTGAAACTTTAAAATTTGTAAGGAAACAGCCCAAAATTTTACCATGGACAATGTATATTAGTGAAACCGTGATGCTGTAGTTTAATGTAAGAAAATTGTAAGAAATTTTGGTGTCATGTAGAGGAAGCACAGGCGCCTCATGTACGGAGGCTTTTAGTCCTTGATGCACCCATCCAGAGTTTGGTTCTCAGCTTGGTGACATTTACTGCATGTCTTCCTCCTTCTCTTTGTGCCCATTCTGTCTTCATTCTAGTGAAGGCCACTAGTGCAACAAAAACATTTAAAAATAAACAACTAAATGCATACTTGTGGCCTTATTATGAGTATTATGATAAATCCAGGTGTGGTTGAAATATTCAGTTCTGTTTGCAGAACATAGAACTAAAAAGTGACCAAACTAGTAGATGTGAAAAATATGTTGGGAGCTTCGGTGGTGCACAGGCAAAGTACAACCCCTGTATGGAGGTCTTAGTCCTTGACATGTCAACACAATTACAAGTCCCAGCCTGATGACCTTTGATTCACGGTTTCCCCCTCTCTCATTACCCACTTTCCTGTCTTACCACTCTTCAATAAAGCCCAGTAGAGCAAACAAAACCTGTAAAACACTCTCTCTCTCTCTCTCTCTCTGTCTCTCTCTCTCTCTCTCTCTCTCTCTCTCTCTCTCTCTATATATATATATATATAGATATATATATATATATCTATATATATATCTATATCTATATCTATATATATATATATATATATATATATATATATATAACACACACAGTACAGACCAGACCAAAAGTTTGTTGGACACACCTTTTTATTCAAAGAGTTTTCTTCATTTTCATGACTATGAAAATTGTAGATTCACATCAAAACTATGAATTAACACATGTGGAAATATATACTTAACAAAAATGTGTGAAACAACTGAAAATATGTCTTATATTCTAGGTTCTTCAAAGTAGCCACCTTTTGCTTTGATTACTGCTTCGCACACTCTTGGCATTCTCTTGATGAGCTTCAAGAGGTAGTCACCTGAAATGGTCTTCCAACAGTCTTGAAGGAGTTCCCAGAGATGCTTAGCACTTGTTGGCCCTTTTGCCTTCATTCTGCGGTCCAGCTCACCCCAAACCATCTCGATTGGGTTCAGGTCCGGTGACTGTGGAGGCCAGGTCATCTGGCGCAGCACCCCATCACTCTCCTTCTTGGTCAAATAGCCCTTACACAGCCTGGAGGTGTGTTTGGGGTCATTGTCCTGTTGAAAAATAAATGATGGTCCAACTAAATTCAAACCAGATGGAATAGCATGCTGCTGCAAGATGCTGTGGTAGCCATGCTGGTTCAGTATGCCTTCAATTTTGAATAAATCCCCAACAGTGTCACCAGCAAAGCCCCCCCACACCATCACACCTCCTCCTCCATGCTTCACAGTGGGAACCAGGCATGTAGAGTCCATCCGTTCACCTTTTCTGCGTCGCACAAAGACACGGTGGTTGGAACCAAAGATCACAAATTTGGACTCATCAGACCAAAGCACAGATTTCCACTGGTCTAATGTCCATTCCTTGTGTTCTTTAGCCCAAACAAGTCTCTTCTGCTTGTTGCCTGTCCTTAGCAGTGGTTTCCTAGCAGCTATTCTACCATGAAGGCCTGATTCACACAGTCTCCTCTTAACAGTTGTTGCAGAGAGATGTGTCTGCTGCTAGAACTCTGTGTGGCATTGACCTGGTCTCTGATCTGAGCTGCTGTTAACCTGCGATTTCTGAGGCTGGTGACTCGGATGAACTTATGCTCCGCAGCAGAGGTGACTCTTGGTCTTCCTTTCCTTGGGCGGTCCTCATGTGAGCCAGTTTCTTTGTAGCGCTTGATGGTTTTTGCGACTGCACTTGGGGACACTTTCAAAGTTTTCCCAATTTTTCAGACAGACTGACTTTCATTTCTTAAAGTAATGATGGCCACTCGTTTTTCTTTACTTAGCTGCTTTTGTCTTGCCATAATACAAATTCTAACACTCTATTCAGTAGGACTATCAGCTGTGTGTCCAACTGACTTCTGCACAACACAACTGATGGTCCCAACCCCATTTATAAGGCAAGAAATTCCACTTATTAACCTGACAGGGCACACCTGTGAAGTGAAAACCATTTCAGGTGACGACCTCTTGAAGCTCATCAAGAGAATACAGAGTGTGTGCAAAACAGTAATCACAGCAAAAAGTTGATACTTTGAAGAAACTAGAATATAAGGCGTATTTTCAGTTGTTTTACACATTTTTGTTTAGTACATATTTCCACATGTGTTAATTCATAGTTTTTTTGCCTTTAGTGTGAATCTACAATGTCAATAGTCATGAAAATAAAGGAAACTCATTGAATGAGTAGGTGTGTCCAAACTTTTGGTATATATATATATATATATATATTCAACCCCTTCCCTCTTCTTTGATCAGAAGCCCATTGGTGACTGCACCTGTGCACAGAAAGCTAGGCTGTCCTGCGACTGGTGTACAACTAGGTCTCTGAGGGCTTGCTTCCTGCCATACAACTTGCAAAAAAGTTGTAATACTTTCACTTGTAATTAATTAGCCATACTTCTAAAGAGAAAGTAAGCAAAACACTATTGGTAGATGTAGCTGTCATATGGATTAGCCAACTGTACCAGGTCTCCTGGATTACATGACCAGCTATGGTCATGTGTGAAAATGACCATAGCTGTCCCTACTGTCAGCCATTAATGGCTGATAAAATAACATTCAAGCTTTGGTCAAGTCATGCATTAGGCATTCCCCATAGCAAAACACTTAATCACTGGAAACAGATGTAGAATATTTAGTTTAGACTGTAATTGCTGCAGTCTTCTGCATTTGTTGAAGACACAATGAGCTTATTGAAGTGCTGTTGTGCAGTCATCACAGCAGTGATGACTGCAAAAAAACTGGCTCTTAATTGAGAGATCTCCAGCACATAGGAATCATTTTCTAGAGTGGAAATGTACAAAGTATTATACTGTCATATTGAAATATTTAGAATATACAGCCCAGTGAGTCCCATTTGTGAGATTAAAAGTACCTTTTGAAAAAGAAAACAACTTAAGCAGGTATTAAACATAATTTTTATTAAGCTCACAATTCTGCTTTTAGATGTAAAACTGAATATTTTAATTTTAAATGTCATATTTTAATTACCTCTAAGTTAGAAAATCATCATAAGTAAAATACATAAAACCTTACAAACATGCATGTAATTAATGTACATGATGTGTTTTGCTTAGTGACATAGTTCCTAAAATAACATTATCATGTCATGATTTTCTAATTTGTTGGATCTATAGAGCTGCATGGGAATTGATAGGATTTATTTAATGTCATAGTCTCAGGTGTTGTCATACCGTAAATAAACAGTTTTTTTATGTTTTTTTTCCTCAGTGCTCCAATGCCTTTCCTCATCGGAGTACATTCCAGCCTGATGGAGGTAGTGGTCTATAACTTTATTGCCCACTTGAACTGGATCATGAAAAGCAATCTGAGTCTCTGCATTATATTAAGCTTGGCTTGTGTTAGCTTTGAGATGATTTAAGTTATTTCATACATAAAATATGTCATGTCATTGTGCCATTTGCTTCTGTTGTTTTTGTAGAAAGTTCAAGGGATGGCTCTGGATGATGTGGTTCTCTTGAATGTAGACACCAACACCCTAGAAACCCCCTATCATGACCTTCAAAGCCTTCCCAATGATGTGGTGAGAAACTCCTGGGCAGCTACAAATGGCTGTTTAGAGTTCAGGAAGGCAAAACTAAAAAATCACCATTGTTAGATAATAATGCTCATTATTCTGTGGAAAGCCATCATAAAGTTTGTATTAATGAGTGTGACTTTCTAATATGTAGGTTTCATCCTTAAAAAGCCGTTTGAAGAAAGTTTCAACTACAACTGGAGATGGTGTGGCTCGGGCCTTTCTCAAGAGTCAGGCATCTCTGTTTGGAAGCTACAGGAATGCTCTGCAGTTCGAAGCGGTCAGTCTGGAATGGATTTGACTTAATAGAAAATGCTTCCAGACAAAATGTGTGTTTCGTCTTTGGGCACTCTTTATAAGGTCCAGTTTCGTACTCGGAACCAGTTTCATTCCTCAAATTATTACATAAACCAGAAACCTTCAGAATCAAATTTTTTGGCAGTTGGAGTTGCTATTTTCTTTGTATCTAGATATTAAGTTTTTTATGTGTTATGTTTAAATGTAGTTCATCAACAATTTCATGCCTAATTGTTTGCTACAGAGACAAACAATTAAGCGTGACCCAAACAAGCGGTGTGACCCAAATTGTATGTTCTGTTTTTAGGGGGAACCAATAACATTCAACGAGGAGACTTTTATCAACCATCGCTCCAGTGCCATGAGACAGTTCCTTCAGAATGCCATTCAACTTCAGCTCTTTAAACAGGTATACATACAGCACCCACTGCTGCTCCTGTCAAATCTCACCTTTAACATCAATTGTGTTCAGTGGGTTTGGAATCTATGAGCTCATGCAAAATTTGGATCTTCTTTTTCCAAACTTTGTTTTTCTAATGTAGTTCATTGATGGTCGCTTGGACCTGTTAAATGCAGGAGAGGGTTTCAATGACATTTTTGAAGAAGAGATCAACATGGGGGAGTATGCCGGTGAGCCACCTATATGTTCTACAAAACTGTGTGTTTAAAGTGTAAAACAGACATTTAAAACAGTGAAATTAACAACTGGCAGTTATATTCTAAACTTAACTTTGTGCATTGTTCCCCCTACCATAATGCTATCATAATATAAGGGGGAACCAGGTCACAGAAGTTATGTATGGTTACTTTTCAAGTCAGTTCAAGTTAATTCAGTTTAGTTATGCAAGATCAATATACAGTACAAGAAATGTCACCTCAAAGCACTTTAAAAAAAAATTATAGAGAAATACATAATTATATCCAGTCAAATAAATAGTTTTAAATTGAATTACATACGTTCGAATTAACTACAAAGTTGATGGTGTGGCAGGGGAGCATCTATGGAAGTGTTGTTTGTATGGTTGTTTGAACCATGTCTCTGAGTGGTGTGTTCCCATCAGACAGCATATGGCTCTAGATTAGAGGATGTGTGTTTTTGTTGCTGGTGGTTGTCCTATGCTGCTGATAGGACCAGGTTAACTAAAGAAATATGTTTCTTATTTTTTGTATTGTTGGTCATGTTATACTGACATAAATTTCATTGATTCCTTCCCACAGGCAGTGACAGGACCTACCACCAGTGGCTGCTTACTGTAAAGGTGAGCTGATTTGTCATACATCTATT